CCACCACAGACGTGCCCGGCAGCTGCAGCCGGCCGCGCGGGTCAGCGCTGCTTGGATGTGCAGACGTGCCTAACCTGGGGCATCCCTGCGTGAAAACGCCCTCATCGCAACATCCCGTGGTTTTATAAAGCACTGGACTGCACCCACCCCCCGCTTCGTCTCGCTTCCGTTGGTGTCCCTGCCCCTCTCGGAGGCTTACCCTCACAGGCAGAAGGCTGTGACCCAAATGCCTTTACATATACCGGCTCTTCGTTTAAAGGAAAGGCATTTTTCAAAGAGTTCAGTTGAGCAAACAAAGCACGGGCACCTACATCCTCACACCAGATGCTGACAGCAACACAGGGTTATGGTCGGTGAGAATGGAAACAAAACAACTCATACGAGCGAAGGTCTCCTGCTATGCTAGTTTCAATTCCCCAAATGCCGCTGCCGCTGAGAACACTCTATACCAATTTGAAATATGGTCTGTGCAGCTGTTTGGTGCAGGTATTTAAATCTGCCAAACCTCTTCTGCAGCAAGACGGGGTGGGTGGGAAGCAGACACCTCCATCCTGCACGGCGCTTTGCTGAGGGTGTCCTGCTCGATGCCGCCACACCACTTCCAACAGCGTTTCCCAGCCGGGGCCAGGGCGGCAGCGTGCGGCACTGCACTCGCTGCTGCACGCAGCGTTGTGCGCTAACCGGCTGCATCAACAGGAGGGAAGAAAAGGGGCCGGCCGGTCCAGCACAGCCCGCGTGCCTGCGCGGACACTCTCATACCCGCTGCACCATCACGGCTGCACCCGAGCCGAGCGGCAAGCGATGTCCCCCGTGCCAACCCCTGCGCTAGCTGAGGGGACGCCAGCTTGCACACACCAAAGCCATGCCAGGGCGGTGCTAACCATAGCGGGATAGTACAGCCAAAGTCTGTGCCTCTGCAGCAACGGTCTCTTGTTTATCAGCACAGAGGGAGCATCAGCGACAGTCCTGGGCTTATGGAGAAACTACTGTACGCAGACAGCCTGCAGCCCGGCTTGGCCGCTGCTCGCCTTCGCAAGCCAGTATCAGAGGTTTCTGTGCATGTTGGCATCAGCAGTGAGGGCACCAGCACACTTCTGCATCAGTCAGGCTGTGGGTCCAGACCAGGCTAAGCTGCTAAAAGCCGGTGAATGTCTCTGGGTGCGGAATCAGGCGGCTGGTAGAAGGCTAACGACCAGGCAGGGAGTTCACCATCAAAACATGCAGTATCTGCTCCAAAGGTCACCCTTCCTAAGCAGGGAAATGCTTTTGCATAAGGCAAGGCAGAGGCATAAGAACAGAGATTCACATAATTCTTCCGACCTCTGTTCACACGCGTGGTGGGAGCCGGTCGCATCCCTCTGCAAGGGAATGGGAACCGAGACTCTCCCCCAGCCCAGCCCCGGCGGCAACCCCCGGC